TTTTTTCTTTTTTTCATTTTCATCGTTAACTCATAAGCAGAGAAGATTGAAGAAATTAACCTCAACTCAGTCTCGCCGAGATTCTTGGAGCCAAATTGAAGAAGTACGTTGAAAATATCCTTTTTGACTTGCCAAAGAACAAGAGCATTCGTGACATCATGTGGTGTGGGAGAAGTATTGTCAAAATTAAAATGCAAACAGCAAATTTCCAATATTTTCGATTTAAATTTGTGGGGCGTTCTGAAAGATTTTGATGGGAATTCATTTTAAAATATTGTGAGGAGGTTGATTTTGTTTTACTTGCCCGAAATTAAAATCATTTTTATTATAAAAAAAAAATCCACTTATTTTTTTTAATTATTTCACCCGACGAAAGGTGATAAGGCCGCTAAGACGCAAAAGGTTACTGAGAATGAAAGGGAATGAGATTATTTTACCGAAGAGAAAGAGAAAAAAAAACACACTTTTTCAGTTGGACAGAACCTAGAAATAGCACGGACTTAGGGATTTATAAATATGAAGGAATCCTGACGAGAAAGTTGTCTCACACGACACAGTAGACAAACATTCCTGGAAGCAGCCATAGCAATTGATTCAATATAAACATTACACACCATGGCAGTGGCAATATTTTGAGCCAAAAGAAGCAATGAGTTGCTAGTCTGGAGGTTAGCATTAGTCATGCTGATAGATTAACCAATATAGATAGGTGCATTGAAACCTCATTCAAATCAGAGATTTTAAGCAATGACGTTTGTACGCCCAGCAAGCATTCCACATCGAAGAAAGCGATGGAAAGTATGTATTATGTAATAATACTTTTGAGACTATTATTTACATTTAACTCCTTGTAATTGGCAACATATATCCATTAACATTTGCATATTTTTCTATGGGTCGTGTCCCCTCAGGACGATTGCGATCTTGGTTCTCCACAATTTACTGTCCTTTGAATATCTTAATAAATGTTCTATTTTTGTTATCTCACCAAACCTTACGTCATCCATTTACTCGAGGTCACCAGGTATGTTATGCATTGTTTCCTTTATTCTATTTCCCATCTGTCCCCGTGAGTATAAGATTTTCCAAGCCCTCTTTCTTCATTATGTGTCCTAGAAATTTCAACTCTCTTTCTGATGTTAACGTTTCCTTTAACATCAAAAGATTTCCTTTTCGTTTCCATTTTCTCTAAAAACTCATTGTTATTATATATTCTGTCAATAGAATGCTCAGTATCCTTATGTAGAACCACAGTTGCTTCAAGTCATCTCCTTCATCTGTGATAGATTGTCCAGCATTCACTGCCATATATTAGGTTGGTGCAAAAAAAATGACGTAAGAATGTTGTTTTTTGACGTTAAAAAATACGTCAAAAACGACATTATTACGTCATTATTTTGGCACCAACCTATTTAATATTGGTGCAAAATAATGACGTAATAATGTCGTTTTTTGACGTTAAAAAATACGTCAAAAAACGACATTATTACGTCATTATTTTTGCACCAACCTAATAGTAGGACTGATAGTATGTAACATTTTAGTGTTTTTTCATCGTTTCTATCAAAGTCTTTCTCTCTCTCTTAATACTCTGCTTAACTTTTGGAAAACATCTTTGACCATCCAAATACATCTCGGAATTCCAGTGTCGCACATTCTGTCTTCTGGTAGAACAGTTTCCAGACATTTAAATTTTTGTACTCGTTTGATTTTAGTATCCCCGATTTGTAATTTGGATTTTGGATTCATCCTTTTGGTATCATCCCTGCATTCTGTCTTCTTGCAGTTTGTGATTAATAACTTCGTCTCTACCTTCTGTTTGTTTTATTTCCGTGTCTGCTATCAGCACTGCATATCTTATGTTGTTAAGGTTTCCCATTATGAGTCTCAGAAATTTCAACTGTCTCTTCCTAATGTTAATTAACTGTGTACATTTTGTTTCCATTTTCTTTAATGCATCGTTGTTACTCATATATTCGGTCCATAGTATTCTCAGCATCCTTCTGTAGAACCACATTTCTGTTTCTTGTAGTTTCTTCTTCACCTGTGAGGAAATTGTCCAGCATTCCCTGCCATATAAGAGGATCGATATTACATAACAGTTCAGTATTCTTTTCTTTGTTTCTGTTGCTTTAAGTCACTTTTTCATCTATGAGGAGATTGTCCAGCATTCCCTGCCATATAAGAGGACTGATATTACATAACAATTCAGTACTCTTTTCTTTCTTTCTGTTGCTTTAAGTCACTTCTTCATCTGTGAGGACATTGTCCAGCATTCCCTGCCATATAAGAGGATCGATATTACATAACAGTTCAGTACTCTTTTCTTTGTTTCTGTTGCTTCAAGTCCCTTCTTCATCTATGAGGAGATTGTCCAGCATTCCCTGCCATATAAGAGGACTGATATTACATAACACTAAAGTACTCTTTTCTTTAGTTCTGTTCCTTCTTTATTTGTGCCGAGATTGTCCAGCATTCATTGACATATAGGAAGACTGATCTCACATCACAGCTTGTGCAGCAAGAATAAAACCTTTCGTTTCAGCTTTTAACCTTGCACTCCGTAACCATTGATGGGTACGGGCCTTTGTCTATACCAGCTTGTTTGGTAAAGGCAGAGTATTCACCATGAAGAGGGCTTATCTTACCATCGTTTCTGTATCTGGTCCATTGTATTTGATTTTGCTTTATTTTATGAATTTTTTTGCTGCTGCAGTGGATGTGTTGTTTTACTTGCAATTCTTCACCAATTGAAACTCCATTTTGAACTTGCTGGTTCTCTTTATTACAGCATAAAGACGCTTACCACTTTCATGTTCTTTGACACAGATCATCATTCAGTATTCTGTAGTTTCTATGTATTTAAAGACCGATTGTTGTAGTTTTGTAAGACAGTTCTAGTTTAACTAATCCTCTGACTCCTTCGGATCTGGACACATACAAAAGATCAACATTAGCATTGAGATGATGCATACGATAACAAGTGATAAGCTATCTTGTATCTTTTAAGGTCAGTATGATCCAGTTAAGGATGTTGAAACCACGGATATAGCCAATGTGTTTATGATTGATGTTTTGTTTTGTGAATTCAATTTGCTGTTCTACACCAGTCGCACACCTGAAGTATTCTTTTGTTAATTTCCCCTTCATTTCACTATGCTGTATTTCATGAAACATTGTACAGTAATGAGCAGACCCTTCAACTCGTTGTCGTCGTTGGAAAAGAGTTTGATATCATCCACGTCGAATAAGTGATTAAACACTTTCTTTTTTTTTACTTTGTAACTATAGTTATTACTGTTTAATTCATGCAAAAGGGGTGCGGATTAAGGGCAGACAGAACAGAAGGGCTGACATGGAGTCTCATTTAAAGAATCCTCGTCGGATATTCAAAAACTTGGAATTGGCAGTGCCTTTGGTATTATTTATGAATCATCTTGTTTCCCGCAATACCATTATTTAAAGAATTCTACTATCACCGAAGAGACTTTTTACATTTCCAAAGTCTTAAGGATCCATAAGTGTTGCACTCTTTACGGTGGCACTTTATCCATGCTCTGCTGAGATTTCTACCAGTTTTCCTGCAAATTTCCAGGATTATTTTGTTTACCAGTAGTTGATCTTTGCAACCATATGGAACTCTTCGAATCCCTTCTGTTCCAAAGGAAGAATGTTTTCATCGAAAAAAGTGTTCGTAGAGTTCATTAGAACAGACGTAATCAGTTTATGTGTGGTGGACAGGCGTTATTAGCCTGTAATTTTTTGGATCATCTCTTTCGCACATTTTTGGTAAGAGATATGTGATACTTTCAGTGATCCATTCTGGAATTTCATTGCGGTTCTTAATTAGCATTGATAAAATTTGATAGATTGGTCAAAAGTTAGATACCTTGACGATTCCTGGGTATTTCCATTCTTGTGAATTTCTTAGAACTTGCATATATTATCCTTGTTTTTTTTTTTATTTCATTCTTGCACAGGTTTTTCCTTCATTCTTTCTCGTTCTTGTTTGAACCATTCTTCATTGGAATTATATTACATTGGAATGCTCCAAATATTCTCCGAAATTATTGGCACTTCTTCAATAGATGGTGGTTTCGTGACTTCTATAATCGCGTTTCCAATTCCCGGGTAAAAATTCTTCAGTTCTATTTCGAATGTCTTATTTTGTCGAACGATACAACACTATTCATATTGCCTGGTCTCTTTGCCTTTAAATACAGTTTCATTCTTCTTATTATTATTATTATTATTATTATTATTATTATTATTATTATTATTATTTCCGGTATTTTTATTTACTGATTGATACAATCATTTATCGACTTTTTAAAATGACATCTGTGTTAAAAGAATTTTCTTTAGAAAGTTATTGATTATATTAAATTAAGAAAGTATTTCTGAGTATGCCACATGTGTTAATTAGCACAACGACTTCTATTTTAATGACCGAATTTATAATAATAATAAGAATTATTATTATTATTATTATTATTATTATTATTATTATTATTATTATTACAATACTTACATATGAACGCGATTTAGATAAAGAAAAGATATATTTAACAATGTTTAATGATAATTCAACAGTATGGCTGTCTTCGAGTTATGTTTGAAAATTACATTACATGTAGAGAAAATATAAACAAAAAGTAAAAGTCTTTGTACAAACGTCACTTATCTTGAGAAAAACGGTTCTACTGTTAATCAACGCGTCAAAACGAAGGAAATGTAGCCAGCGTGAATGGTATGCAACTAAAATGTGAGTAATATAATGGGAGAGGTACTTATCTTGAAATTTTGCCTTAGTTTATTAGTTACAAAGAGGAATGAAGCAAAGAGTTTACTATTTAACACAAATAATGTGGGGCATGTATCCAATTTTTAAACATTGCTTGCAAAAAACAGACATCTTGTCATAATATTGTTAAACATTCTTAAACAATGACTCATTTCTTATACTAGTACACAAAATAACTAAATAAAGTGCTAAATACAATAAGTATATATATAGATAGATAGATAGATAGATAGATAGAGAGAGAGGCTAGAGAGAGAGGTAGTGGATGAGCATTGCTGATGAGTCCCAAATCCGTCCAGTCTTTTCTGCATTCTGTTGCGATTTCTTCTAGAGTCTATGATTTAATTAATTATAATTATCTGAAATCCTCCTAAATTCCTTCACTTGTATATCCTTGCTTAAACCGGCTTTTAATGCTCTGGATGCAGCGGCTTGGGGATAGTCGTCGTGGCTCGTAGGGGCACAGTCCTATGGGAAAAAGAGAAACTCGGATGAGTTCCACCACGGAATATGTGATCGAGCGGCGCTATATTGAGTTTGATTCGCTACCTCTTCGTCATCGAAGCCCGTTGGAACATTTGGTATAACGTTTACATGATAACCTAACTGGCAGGGTTTCAACTCTCGGTAGTGGATGCGCACTGCTGATGAGTCCCAAATATAGAACGAAACGGTCGTCCAGTGCCTTCTGCATTCTGTTGAGGTTTCTTCTAAACTCGATGAATTACTTAATTATAATTATCTCAAATTCTCCTAATTTCTATCATATATATATATATATATATATATATATATATATATATATATATATATATAGGAATGCCGCGATAAACTTAAGAGGACAGCGGCACGTTCAGAATCCCTGATGTAATATTTATATTTCTTGAAGGTTGAAATCGGAGGCTTTGTAAACTAATAACAAAGTATAATTCCTATCGATCCCACATGTTGTTCAAGCTAAAAATGAGAAGAAAAATTGTCCATAAATTGGATTTGTTTTGTTTTACGGTATATCAACCTCTATGTTTTATTGAATGGCGACACGATTTTTATTGATTGTAATAATTTTAAAAAAATCTATTGCTATTAATATGTATATTTTTCCCAAAATATATTGCTGGTAATATCTTTTTCTTCAAAAATGGATTGCTGGTAATGTATTTCAAAAAAGTATTGCAGGTATTAAAACCTATTTTTACACTTTCATAGTGATCTGACCCCCGTTTCGGGTCTTCATCTATTTGCCCACAGCTGGAAAACTAACGTGTACTACTACCCTGAACCGGGGTGAACCTGGGAACACCAGCAATTAAGAGATGCTTCCATGCTCCTCAAAACCTCCTGAACAGAGGCCCTACTGCCGGATGTAGTTTATCGTCTCACCCAGGACGCGGATGCTGTTTATCGTCTTACCCAGGACGCGGATGTAGTTTATTGTCATATCCAGGACGACGTAAATTTGGAATCGGAATAGAAAAGAATAAGCAGAGAATTTAAAAGACAAAAAGCAAGGCATGCAATTTGACTAAAGAGCAACATATCATACTATTTTGACTTTATTTTTCCGATTCGCACTACTGATTGTTGGCATCTTGTATTTCAATATTATGTTGTTAATTTCATACAACTTGTCCAATCGTTGCTGAATTATTTATTTTCATAAATACATATAAACATTAATTGTTAATTCTTTAAAGCCTTTTATATCCCCACATATTTTTCGCTTTAAACGAAACAAGCCCAAAGGTTCTTTTACAATGTTCACTGCTTCATGTCTTTAAACAATACTCAAATATAATGCTAAAGTTACCTAAAGAATTACCTCTCGTCAGACAAGCTGACTCAGTAGCAGGTCACACAGATAGCTGTAAAGAAAATGTGTTTTTAAATCTACTTTCAACATGACGGACTTTCTGTGGGCTCGTTCCATATGTGCTATCGTTAAAAACACACACAATTACTACACCTACAATTCATACCGATTCCTTACACATGATTGTATTTCTGAGTCAAAGAATCACACTGTGTAACACGAGTTTAGTCTTTGGATAGCAACTGTTATTTTCTGATTTATTTACGCTTAGAAAGCATAACAAAATGTTAACATAAAATCTCTTTCAAACCTCTGAAATATTTCTGAAATGTAACTTTTCGTATTGGGAAAACTTGTGAATGTACTATCTTCAAAATTTTATTATATATTTAAACGACATCATATATTTTTATTCTTTGTTCACTTTAAAAGAACTGATCGGAACCATTCAAAACCTGACATGAAACCAAAAAATAATGATTTATATTTCATAACAAAAGGTTAAAGGCATCGTTTTTCCCGCTTCAAAAACTATCGACTCCCTCCTGTATTCATTTTTTTTTCTTTTATTGTCTACACTATTTACCGTTTCCTTCCCCATTCCTTTCGTCTTTAGTTTTCATTGCTGAATATTAAATTCTAATAGCCAAATTATGTTCAAAGCATTTTTATCCCCCAAATACTTTCCATTTTGAAAAAAAAAACCAAGGTCAAAGGTTTCTTTTATAATTTTCACATGCCTCATATTTTCAAACAATACTCAAATATAACGCTAATCTTGTTGCCAAAAAAGAATTATTGCTCGATACAGAAGCTGACTCAGTAGCAGGTCACACAGATAGCTGTAAAGAAAATGTCTTTTTAAATCTGCTTTCAACATGGCGGACTTTCTGTAGGCTCGTTCCTTATGCGCTATCGTTAAAAACATGCACA